TTTTCCTTAAACCATTTTCCTTTTCGTGCTCGTATTTATAATATGGACGGGTTCTCCGCGGACTGGAATTCTTTGTGTGGGCAGTAAAAACCGGACCTCTACTCCTTGTTTCTCTCACACAGCTCCTCTTCTATTCTGAATTCATCCCACCGCCGACGGTATGTCTCAACTCCGATCACTAACATTAACATCGCCATTCTGCTCTTTTTATAGCTTTCAAATCTCTCAATTTCATATGGGGCATGTTTCAGGTTTGCATGCGTTCATGCGTAATATGTAGATTTCTTCAAGTAGTTTATTGGGTTTTTTAATTTATGGCTTCATGAAACATTCCCCAGTTTCATTTTAACGTTTTGATCAGCTTTTATGGTTCAGAAATGACAGTTGTAAGATTTTCATGTTCTATTGTACAATTGATTTGGTTCTAGGACTAGGGGTAATTTATTTTTTAATCCCTGCATATGAAATCACCATGGCAGCGCATTTTCATGGGGTTGGCGTAAATCCTGAGGAATCTTTAAGTCTCTCTTTGCCTCTGGTTTGTGTCTTTGATTTTGGGTTCAAAGTTATCACCTTGATGATTAATATATTAATGGAATAATATTGTGAGGCTTGACGAATCTTTTGTTTGATTTTTAAATTATATAAAACGAATTTGTGGACTCATCCATGATGGTCATCTCTTGAAGCTGATAAGATAATCTCTTGGCCTCTTTGATGCCATCAGTCTTATGCTAATAATATTGAAAGAGTTAAATCTTTTTTAGCACTCAATCTGTTTCCTTTTCGTATGGTATAATATGATGTGCAAAAGAGGATTTGGAGAGTTGAAAAGGGAGAGATGATTTTCTTCTTTTTCTGTATAAGGAAGTTTCTATGCATTGTTGTGGACCTATTGGTGCGACCTCAGTTATGCTAAGTTGTTCGGACCAGGATTTTCATTATCAAATTATGCTTATTGTTGTCATAATTATGAGGTAGAAAAATCATTGATTTATGTCCTAGTTGATATGATGCGTGCATTAAGTGTATTCTTATGTGGCTGTACATTTCCAGTTGGCAGATATTAAGAATTAGAAAGAGAATGTATAGAACCATGTATGCATCTAGGATTGAAACCGCTACTAGATTCAAGATCTCTTTCATTTATCATAATATCCAAACAGATTTTTGCTCCTTAAGATTTTGTTACATTGATTCTAAATTTTTATTTTTGTTTTTTTATCTGGTGATTGGTTGGCTATGTTTAGAATCTTAGATGGTCACTTTCTCCATAATCTTTTCAATGCAAATTATTTACATCTTGATTCAGGGCATAGAAAGGCCACGAGGATAAGATGGCAGAAGATGATGTCTATACAAATGATGGGACCGTGGATATCAGAAATAAGCCTGCTAATAAGAAGAAAACTGGAAATTGGAAGGCTTGCAGCTTTATTCTTGGTAATCTAATTGAATGCTTGCTCTTTTCCTTGTCTAGAAAGGTAGAATGCATCTGTTTCATTATTTTTACTTATCTGTGTATCTGATTTGCTTTTTATTTGTTGGATGCTAAAAATTTCCTCAGGAAATGAATGTTGTGAAAGGTTGGCATACTATGGGATGGGGACCAACCTGGTCAACTATATCCAAGACCGTCTTAATCAGGGAAATGTTGCTGCAGCAAACAGTGTGACAAATTGGTCGGGAACCTGCTACATTACACCATTGATTGGAGCCTTTCTAGCCGATGCATATTTGGGAAGATATTGGACAATTGCTTCTTTCTCAATCATCTATGTCTTGGTGAGTTTTGTACAAAGAAATTTCCTCCTTTTTTTTTTTTTTGTTGTTTTACCTGTGATGTGGTAAAGGCTTCGTTTGCATATGGGTACTCTATACCTATGTTATTATCAGCCAAGTTAGAAATAAATTTAATTTATGCCTTATATTTTTCATACAAACGTTTTGGTCATGCTTTTACTAGAGTAATTAAGACATTAAAGCTTATACCTATTCTTACCTTGAGTCATGAACAAGGTTCCTTATGTAGTTGTATTTGTTTTAGCACTGAAAATGTTGTGTTCTGATTTTTCTTTCAGGGCATGACTCTTCTAACATTGTCTGCTTCAGTAACTGGACTAAAGCCACACTGCATTGGGCACGATTGCCATGCAACAGCATCACAGACTGCAGTGTGCTTTGTAGCACTTTACATGATTGCTCTTGGGACTGGAGGAATCAAACCTTGTGTCTCGTCCTTTGGGGCTGATCAGTTTGATGAAACTGATGAGGCTGAGAGGAGGAAGAAGAGTTCTTTCTTTAACTGGTTTTACTTTTCTATCAACATCGGAGCACTTATTGCGTCCTCTGTTCTAGTCTGGATACAGATGAATGTGGGCTGGGGCTGGGGGTTCGGGATACCAGCAGTTGCAATGGCCATTGCTGTTGTATTCTTCTTTTCTGGTAGCAATTTGTATCGCCTTCAAAAACCTGGAGGGAGCCCACTTACCAGGATTTGCCAGGTTATGATTGCATCCTTTAGAAAAGTTAATGTGAAAGTTCCTGCAGATAAGTCTCTTCTTTATGAGACTGCTGACAAGGAATGCAATATTCAAGGGAGCCGCAAGCTTGAGCATACTGATAAGTTGGTGTAAGTACATGAAAGTTGGAAGCTTCTAGATTTGATTGCTTAACCTGCTCATTTTGCAGTTGTCTCAATCCCCTTCATGGTCTAGGCTTGCTTTTTTAGTTAGGTTAACCTGTAGTTTTAAGATTTTGAGTGATTGGTCTAGTCTCTAATCGAAAATTTCAAATTACAGGTTCTTTGACAAGGCTGCTGTGGAGACAGAAAAAGACCAGGTTAAGGGCAGTGTAGATCCATGGAAACTTTGCACAGTAACTCAAGTTGAGGAGCTCAAGTCCATTATCAGGTTACTCCCAATATGGGCATCTGGCATTGTGTTTTCTACTGTCTATGGCCAAATGAGCACCATGTTTGTTTTACAAGGCAACACAATGGATCAACACATGGGTCCGCACTTCAAGATTCCATCGGCATCCCTATCCCTTTTTGACACTCTCAGTGTTATCTTCTGGGCTCCTGTGTATGACAAATTAATTGTCCCTTATGCAAGGAAGTTCACAGGTGTGGAACGAGGCTTCACCCAGCTCCAACGCATGGGAATTGGCCTTGTGATATCCATTTTCTCCATGCTCACTGCTGGAATCCTGGAGGTTGTCCGGCTTAATATTGTCAAGAGGAACAATTACTATGACCTAGAGTACATCCCCATGTCAATTTTCTGGCAAGTCCCGCAGTATTTCCTCATCGGATGTGCAGAAGTTTTCACCTTCATTGGGCAGTTGGAGTTTTTCTATGACCAGGCACCTGATGCCATGAGAAGTATGTGCTCTGCGCTCTCCCTAACAACTGTTGCATTGGGTAACTACTTGAGCACTCTGCTTGTTACCATTGTGACTAAAGTTACTACAAGGCATGGGAAGCTTGGCTGGATTCCGGATAACCTGAACAGAGGCCATCTTGACTACTTTTACTGGGTCCTGGCTATCCTTAGTTTGATTAACTTTGTTGTCTATCTGTGGATCTCGAAGTGGTATACCTACAAGAAGGCAACTGGTCATGCCCATTGATGCAAGCCATTGAAATCTGTCTCTAGTTTGGTACTTTGTGGTTTGTGTTTTTATTTTTTTCTTGATTTGGTTTGGTTGGATTTCTAGTACTTGCTGAACAAAGTATTTCGTAAATAAAAAAAAATGTTTTATAATTTGAATAGTAAAATATTAATAATTAAATAATATAATATTTCTTGATAATAAGTTTTAACTTTTCCATCAAATAATTGGTATCCGAAATCAAAACTATAAAATAATAAACTTTTCCTAAAATATTGTTTAGTTCTTTCAATTCTTAGTCTAAGTAGATTTCTTTGAATAAAATGGAGAAAAAAATAAGTAGATGACCTATTTTTTAAAATTGTATATATTTAGATATTCTATTTTAATAATAATAACAAAATCGACTAAAACTCGATTAATAAATTTTCATACATTCTTATTCGTAGAATACTTTGTCTTTTCAAACCCGACAACAGTAAAAATAATAAAAATAATAACTGGATAACAGAGTAAGAGGTTCAAAAATCCGCAGTGAGTCAGTGAGGAAGAACCAGAAAGCTGAGAAAATAGAAAAACAAAAGATGTTTGCGCTCAAATCCATTAAAGCCTCCTTGATTTCCAGAAAGCATCATACCCTTTTTCCCCCATCTAAACTACCCAATTCAAAGAATTCCATCCTCTGTCTCTGCAAGACCAACGACCCAAATGATTCCGACCCTGAGTCACCGTCACCGGAAGGGGACACTCGCCAGCAAGAGCTGCTTGCCACCATCGCAATGCTTCAAACTCAGAAGGTCCGTCTTACCGAATATTTAGATGAAAGGGCTGCTTATCTTACCCAATATGCTGAAGAAGCCAACTCCGAGTTCGACAAGGTTGGAGAAGATGCTTTCAGAGAAATTCAAGAAGCCGGTGACACGGTCTGTATAGATTGCATGAGCTCTTAATTCTCTATGTAGTGTTTCAGAAAGAAAAGGGTATCTGTCTTTGGTTTTTTCATGAGTAAGTTGATAACCCAGTTCTTGTTCCGTTGTTGTTTGGCAGATAATGGAAACCATAGAGAGCAAAATGCAAGCCTTCAGAGAATCTCAAGAATTGAACAGAGTGGAGATCGAGAAGAATGAAAACAAGTTAGAGTGGTTTGAAGATCAAATTGAGGAAGATAGGAATGAAGGGCTGTTCTTTAAGAACCTGGGGGCAAGAAAGTCTCTGGATAGGGCAGAAGCAAGGGAAGAGATGGAGGAGATAAAGGAGGTTATTAAAGAAACTGCAGGGTCAAAAAACAGAAGAAACATTTACCTTGCTTTAATGGCACTGCTAGTGGTTGAAATTGCTGATTCTTTCATCTCCTCGCCTGATCGAAGAAAAATTGCAGTTCTTGGAGCAATTTTGGTTGCTTTATTTACTCAGTTCGTCAACGAACAGGAAATGATATCAGAGGCTGAAAAATTAGAAAAGGGATTAGAAAAGGAAAGAAGTGATCAGAAGAAGTAAAATGTGTTTGCAAGATCTGAGAAAAAAGGACTATTGTAAAGTTTTGATGCATTGTTATTTTCAGTGAATATCAGAATATTGCATGATACATAACCCCAAGTTGGAACTTAAGACTTGGGTTTGATACATCAAGCTATTTTCTTTTGCATCATCAACATATGATCGTGGTGGTATGACTTCAATCACCAAAACCAAATGTGAGTTACCAAATTTGATGCTTTGTTATCCTTTCTCAATCATTCTACTGGAAAACAACAAATAGATGAATCTAGATTTCAACATATTTTACACATACTGTCCAGTGTCTATTTCCTGAAAGCTTTTCAGGATAGATGAAGCATCTCTGCAAGATAGAATCATATGAGATGTAGATAGCTAGGATAAATGCAGGATTACTGGGCCAGCTAAAAAATGTAGTCGTTGATTGAGAAAAAGTCAGAAGAAATTGTCTGCAATATACTCTGCAAAAATCAGCACCGTGTAAGAAAGCATTTATGCAATTGAAAGAAATATGAGTCTAAGTTCCTGTAGGAACTCATCCAGCCATACCTCAATCACTTTTAAAGAACTGCCTTTCTAACTAGAAATCACATTCATGAGCTGATCAAGTACACCTTTAATGGACAAGGAAACCAGTGCTTAATTTCAGAAAGTTGTAGATATCACAGAACCCATTCTTACACAATCCATGAATTAAAACTCCATAATGAGTGGTAGAATTAGGATTGCAACACTTAACAGACACGAGCTCTCATGTAGAAATTTTTTTCACCCACCTTCCCAATCTCAACAAGCCTTTCATTAAATATGTTATAATAACTTGTAACATTTTCACAACCCTCCTTCCCCATGACCTCCCCCAATTTGAAACTCTCTTTTATCTTCCCTGCTCAGCAGAATCCATTAAGCATTACATTGTGAGTTACCACATCAGGCAATACCACACTCTTGACCATCTCTCTCAACTCATTTATCAGAACATGTAAATAAATCCTTCTCTATCATTCCTCTTCATCCTATCCCATTTTTCCAAACACTCTTCAAATCCCTCACATTTGCACAAACCATTAATCACAACATTATAAGTTATCAGTAATCACATTAGAGAACACAGAAGATGCCTTCGGCAATCTCTGCCAAACCTCATTTAACATAATCCCCTTGCTTGAAAAACCCATTAATCAAAATGTTATAACAAGTAACATCAGGTATCATTCCTTTCTCAGGCATTTCATCAAACATCTTCCTTGCACCCACCACGTTACTACCTTTGGCCAATATGATCCTTATCCAATCCAACAGCCCTTTCACCTTCTGAAACTCCTTACCCTAGCACCCAATCTTAACCAAAAATATTATACGTTTGCAAATTTGGCTTTACACCCACCAATTCCTCGACTCAAAGTAAGCATATACAAAAGTATTTGTTGAAAGACATCTAATGCTTTATCAGGCATTGAAGTTTTAGCATACGCTTTGATCACTGTCAACGCCACAACTTCAGGGCATTTGAACTTCTGGGCTTCAAAGAGTTGAACGATTCTGATAACGGGGGCAAACGCGTCGGGAGTCCACAATTCGGCGAAGAATGTAGTTAAACAAATCCGGCGAGTGCGAATAACCAGCATGAAAATCGCTGATGTCAAATAGAAACAGAGCAGAGTTGATGGTGATGTTCTCTACCTCGAGGAGTCCGACGACTCGTTTGGAGACAGATTTGAGGATCTCGCCAAACGCCGTGACATCTTTCCCACCAGAAGTTGATGACAAAATCATTTCACCACCTGAACTTTGGAACCAGGGAAGTCCAAACTCATTTCTCACTCATTCAAGCCCATTACAAAATCTAGAACCTTAGATGGGCTGTATGAGATGAGATGGGATCCTCTTCAGGCCCATAATCACAAGTTTAGAACCATGGATGGAAAACTAAACTTCAAACCTTGGAATAGATGAGGACAAGTTTTGGAAATGGAAAGGTTATTCATGTCGTATAACCCATTAATCATAACAAAAAGAGAAACAAATTTGTGTTAATTAATCTACAACAGTTGACAAATAAGCTCTCCAATTACCATAAGCAAATTATTAGATCTCTACTTTGGTTTTGGATTATGAGCTTCCATTTTGTCTTTTTCTTTCCTTTATTTGGGTCTCCTCTGTTTTCCATGTCACCTTTTTGACTTGAAAGGCAAATTTTGTTGATCATGGAGCCTTTACATGTTTAGTTGTAGTGGAAAAGCATAAATAAGGAATAATGTCAACCTCACTCAACCAGCATGCTGCTGTGTTGAATTCCTTCGAGAAATTTGTACGTATATCACAAGATAAGATTCTACTGTATCACTAGATGACATCTAACGTTGTATCCCAAACTCATTAAGGAAAGACAGGGCATCTTGAAAGCTAAGTGAACTTCTGGGCAACTTTAAAGCCAAGTGAATTTCTTCAATACAGAACACAATTAAGAACCAATAATGCTAGAGAAAAACAAGAGCATCAGGATGTCATGTCCCCTGCAGGTCCATAGTTAAGCCAACAAAAGCTCATTTTACTACCAAATGTTGTTACTAATCCGATTCTGAACTAGATCACAAGCACTGGTGGACGCTAAATCAGTACTACTAATAAGAGCTTGCATGAAATGAGATGAGGACATGTTCAGTGGGTATGAACCAATCAAAATGTCTGGTTACTCTCTGGTAGCAACAATTTCGTGACAAATAGCCAATCCAATGGGTATGAGCCCCACTCATAAAATGACAAATGCCCTTTTGTAACAACATGCTCTTATAAAAGAAAAAGGTAGCAGCAGCCTTACCCCATCAGCCAACTCTCTATCTGGCATAAAGATAAAATGGAAAAGCAAACTGAATCTAAGGCAAGCACATATCTACATAACTGTGCACATATTCCCTATGACAAGTCTCCTCCCTTTTTCCCCCTCCTTTTTTTTTTTGGGTTCTGGCAAAAGTGAACTTATCAATAGAGCAGATTAAGGGAAAGAAACTCCAATACTTAATAAAAATGAGATTGGTGATTAGAGGAAATGGAACACTGAAAATTGCTGTTATTTGAATAAATGAAGAAGCATGCCACTCACAAGAAAGGCAACAAATTTAGGGTGCTTTATATCCAACCAACCACCAAGAATTACACGGGCATCATGTGTGGTTTACACAACAAATGCAGTAAAATTAACAACATTAAACCAAAGAAACACCTTATCAACCTCAAATTCAGTACAGCCTCAGTACGCTCCTCGCGATAGAATGTGCCTGATTCACCCTACTTTTGCCTGAGCCACCCCTCCTACTGCCCCTCATTGGTGTCAAGTAGAACCTTAATAGCCCATTATCAATGTTATTTGGTGAATACCTAGCACTTCGGTTCCTCTCCAGTACAAACTCATCTCTCCTCTTTTTACCATGCCCATTTATCTCAACATTGCTCTTCCTTGCACTGCCGAAGGGTCCACCAAAACCACTTGAATTCCTCCAGCTTACACTGCTATTGCTTCGCAAAATCTTTGGATTAAAAGCCCCTTTCACTTCTCCATTCCTTTCCCCTCTTAACTCTGGCCAAGACTCCGAAAATGACCTCTCCACACCATTGGCTCTACTGAACCTATCTTCATCCTCATCTTTGTTAACACTCCTCCTGTATATGAACCCCCAAATGTTCCATGGCTTAATCCAACTCCGAGACTTCTTTGTTGCCTTTCTTTCACCATTTCCAATCACAGATGCATTATCTCTAAGACCAATTTCAAATGTCTCAGAATAGTCATCCCTCAAAGAATTTGTGTTTGAATCCTTTAAATCTTTATCTGGCACAACCAACTTAGCTCCATTGATGCAATCAGCGGTTGCAGGGGACACCTTTGCATTGGAAACCGACTTCATTTCATCCATCTCCGCCACCACAGCCGCCGCCGCCGTTTTCCTAAGGGAACCGGACCTGTCAAGACTCTTTCTCCTCCTTGAAGAAGAATCCGAGTAATAGTCCCTTGTTTGTGCAGAACCTCCGGGAACTGTCTCCTCCTCATTGATAGAATTCATGGGTTCTTCAACAGGGATTTGGGTATCTGACCTCGAAACTTGAACCGGAGCATCCTCCACGACGGAAAGCATGGTGGGCATCCTCGGAAACGTTCTGCCGATCAAGTAACCATCCCAAGAAGCTCGAGGCTCGTCGAAAGAGTACCTCGGGTCATCAAATGACATCCTGGCCGCATCAAAAGACATCCGGACCGCGTCAAACGACATCCTTCCGGCATCAAGTGAGAATCTTGGATCTGTATCGCAAGACCTTCGACCGTAGCCATAATCTGCAATCTCGGACTGGGTTTCTCTATACTGTCTCCCAATCTTCTCCGCTGGCAATCTTGCAGAACCCACTCCATTTCTGCGCTTCTTGAGCTTCTGCTTTTGCCTCCATTTCTGCAATTTCTTGCTGAATACTGAAGCAGCAGACCAAAAACTACCCGCAATCTCCTTGAAATCTCTACCGGAGGGTTTCTTGGCCTGCGAATCAAGATCTATGTGGTCTTTCATGGGCTTCAACTCTTCTTCCTGAGTCGGTTCCTGCTCGTGCTCCTCCACGATTTCTCCAACTTTCTCCTCAATCACACTGGATGAAGCCACATTGGGCTCCTCGATGATCTCGATATCATCCTCCTGCTCGCTCTCGTACTCAGTCTCGCCCTCTTCCTTCCCTTCCAACACAGGACCTCGAACACTAGCCGAAGATCCCAAATTTCTGTTCTCAACCTCTACAATCTCCGCGCGTCCGGCCTCCTTCTTGTGCGGATTCTTCTCGTCGTCCTGATTAAAGAGTGTCCAAAGCGTACTCCGAACCCTAACGTCACAAGACTTCCTCTGAGGCTCGAACACACCCGAGAAACCCTCGTTCTTCGAAGCAGAAAACGACTTCGTCCGCCGGAGCTCCGGGAAAAACCCGGGTTTAGACCGACTCGAAGAATTATTACTGGGACCACCACCAGAGGGCTTAAAGATGGCTTTAAGAGCAGCGGTGGCGGTGGAGGTAGTTATTGCGATGGGGGGTTTCCGAGAAGAGGAAGCAGCAGAAGAAGAAGAAGGTTCGAGAACTGCGAGCCGCTCGCAGAGGCATGAGGGGCAGAAGCCAGTGAAATGCTCGTCGGGGTGTCGGTCACAGGAGGTGGATGGACGGTGGGGCTGAGGGGGCTGAGGCGGTGCTAATTGTGATGGTGGCTCTGTGTTGGGATTCATAACCGGAAGTGGTGCGTAATGAGCAATCTGCTCATATTATTAGACAGTGAGTGAGGTAGCTAGAGTGAAAAAAAGGGGTGTTTGGAAAGAAAGAAAACTGTTTGTTTCAAACGAACAGTGGAAGAGAAAGAAAAAAGAAAATGATGGAAACAACGGGAAAATAATTGAAATATATATATATATATATATAAAGAAAACAAAAAAGTGTTTTATAGAAATAGTTTTAATCTCAAATATTACGAAAATATTACTGTAACTCTTAAATAAAGACCACCTCCTTAATATCGAAGTTATTATTTATTTAAAATTTTATATTTTATAATTTAATGTAATTCTGAAGGCCCCACAATTTTGCTTTTCCGTTGGGCTCTCTTAGCAATTCCATCTTTTTAGGGGCACTAGCTTGATGAAATTACTATTTTGGGCCTATTGGTCTGCGGGTGACACTCTCACCATCTGGTCACTTGAGCATTTGAAAAAGGAGCTGTTTGGCTTAATCAAATATTTATAAAAGCAAATAATTATTTTTTGTTATTTAAACTGTCTCAAATTAACAGCTAATATTTCTTCTTCTTCTCCTTCTTTTTTTAAGATAAGTTAATATTTTTTTTACTTTAATTTTATTATTATTGTTTAACTTTAATTAGTCATTTTTATTTTATTTTTATTAAAAATAATATAAATATAAATATAAATTATCTACATTGTTCTTTTTAGCAGGAGAGCTCTTATTTTGGGTATATTAAGACTACATCCTCAACCTTTAAAGCCACGTGAAAAATCATCCTAATTATTTGAAATGAATATAAGTAATCCTAAACCTTTCAAGTGAGGATCCCATTTTGTTCATCTCCCTCGGATTCAGCCCTTAAATAAAATGAAAAATGAATTCCACTATTCCTATAAAAACTAAAATAATCAGCTTCTAAAAAAATTTGTAAGCATTATAAAAAATTATCTCTAATGGAGTCAAAACCCACAAGCTCATGCGATTCAAACCATCTTGCTCATGACCGATAACAACATAACCCAACCAAATTCAACCCACCTAGTTGTTATGTCTAAACTAAACCAAAATAAATGAGGTTTTATCTTGACAAGTGAAAAAAGAAAAATTAGAATTTGCAAAGAAAGTGGTAGAAACAAAAGAATGGGTGCCTATATAAATTACAGGAACCCTTTTGATTAGATTTAATAATTTCCATTTTCTTGGTAATTCTGGGTTGGATTTTCCAAAAGATTCCTGTCGAGAGAAAAAGCAAAAGCAAACCACGCCATCACTAGAGGGGAGAGGGGATGTGTGCTCTCTCTCTCTCTCTCTCTGTCTTTCACTCTTTCCTTTATTTTTCGCGGCTTCTGCTTTTTCCTGTTTGGGGCTTCTTTTTTTGTTTTTCTGGGCATTCTTTTTCTCCCAAACAGTCCTGTGGCTTTCCCATGACGTCGTTTTTGGCCCCAAAATGTTTCTTTTTCTCTGTTTTGTTCAGCTTGGCCTGTCTTCTTTAAATTAGGAAAGGGTACGTGGACGATGTGTGTGACAACAAAAACATCACACTACACAAATATGAAATTGCTCCTGCACCCCATCTGGTTCACCTGATCCGTTTCTGCAAAGCAGAAATTTGCTTTTTCCAAACAGCATGTTTCTCAATCTATAAATTTTCTCTATCTCTATCATGACCTACCCTTTTTAAGTTTTTAGTTTTTTTTTTTTTAATGCAAATTTCCATTGTATTTGAAAAATAGAAATTCAATATGAAATCCCTTGAGAAGATTAGGATAACGTTTTTGTTTTTGTTTTTTAAAAAAATTTACATGTCTTACCTTTAATTAGATTAGTGAATATAAAATTTCAAAGAATTTTATTAACTGCATTAAAATTATGTAAAACTCTCCTTTTACTTTTTTATTTTTAAATCCTTTTAGTTTGTTTTAACTTTTGAAAATCTTTACTTGGTTTTTATTGAAAAAGATATTCTAAAGCTTGCCAAACATCTAAGTAAAGAACATACATATGTGACCTAAAAAATAAAACAAAGTTAAGAGCATACACATACTTAATACTCTAAAGTCACCACCCATGAAAAGAAGGGAAAAAAAAAAATAAATAAAAGCTCATCACCATCCTAACTTCAATCTCAAATATCTTTCATTTGTCTATTTAAAAACCCGATGGTTGTAACCACATGTATCTTTTTTCTTTTTTTCTTTTTTTTTAATTATTAATTATTTTATTAATTATTTAAGTACATTATTTTATAATTTAGATTTTACTTAATTGTAAAATATAAATTATTGAATAAAATGAAGTTTCTAATATGAAAAGATTCATTCATATTTAATAATTATGATTATATAGTATTATTTTTTAATTAATTATTTCTTAATAATTAAATTAAAATAAAATTTTAATAATATATATAATTCTAACAATTTTTTTTAATTATTGGTTACACAACAAGATGCAATCCTTTCTCATCGTTTATCTTATTCACTCATATGCTATGCGATTTGAATTGAAAATTTTTTACTTTTGAAAAAAAATTATTACTAAATTAATTAAGTAATTAATATAATTTTAACAAATTTATATACAGCAATAGCTATAGCAATTTAAAAGTGTTGTATATATATATATAATAGCTTATAGGGGTAGAATTTTTATATTTCAATCATTTAGAATTTCGTACAGGGAATAATTGGGACATGAGTGCAGTTTTTTGTGTCAACTTAGGGTAGTGCAGCTGTAACGTAGGGTACAACGCCTTAATGCAATGTAATCGTACGTATCAGTATTGGCCACAACTCTACGCACACGTCACCCACTTGTCTACTCAAGAATAGACTGATCTGGCAGCACGTCAGGTACCCACGACAGACCCCGGGGCCCACCCTAGCCTTTGATACCAAAAAAAATAATTTTTGTATTTTCTTTATAACTTAATATATTATTAAAATAATTATTTTTTTAATTTATATAAAATATATAATATTAAATACATTTACATGTAAAAATTATATTAAAAATAAAATAAAAAATTATTTTTATAACACTACCTATGAAATCCCTTCCTTTCCTTCTGGCTTATTGACGTGATGATATGTCACCACTCTAGCGGTCTAGCCTCTAGCCTCTAGGTCTAGTGTTTAGCA